TGTGTTTAAATGCAGCTGGGAAATCTGACGTGAACAGCCAATACATGTTAGCCTAACATTTGAAGAGGTTGATGTCAATCCCGAAGCTATTAGACCGCTCAAGTCTCCTAGCTAGCTTTTGATTTATAAGACATGCCGCTCTCCCCATATTAGGTATGGTGTCCTGTGCATACAATTGAAGGTCGCCTGCATACAGATAATAAGAAGCTGAAAGTATGGAGGCAAGGGAGTTAATAAATAAGGAAAAGAAGAGAGGAGAGATCACACCTCCCTGAGGTACTCCAACGGATAAGTCGAACCAGTCAGAGATTGATTGCTCGATTTTTACGGCTTGTTGACGCCCACGAAGGTAAGAATCGAACCACTTTATCGCATTAGAGGAGCACCCAAGCTAAGCAAGAGGAGCAAGAAGGACATCGTGAGCAACTGCATTAAAAGCGTTTGAATAATTGAGTAGAACTAACACAGTCAGCCGCGATCATTTCATGCCATCGCGTAATAATAACTTTGAGACACGCTTTAATCAGTGTTATTTTTAAGTACACTATTTCGATTTACCGTAATTTCTATCAAAATGGTTAAGGTACATTGAACCTTGTTCAAATTCATGAGGTACATTGTCACCAAGTCACCAATTACCACTACTTTTATAAGTCTAGCTAGTGTGGCCCCGCTAGATAGAAACACATCATTTTTCTTTTCAGTTAAAACATGGCCTAAATTGATGGTAGGAAAAATATTGGACGATTCGAAAGAGCTTTCAATAATTCAATTTGAATAAAGTATATTTTCATTTCATTTCCTTTTTCATGTCTTCAACAAATACCAACGGTGAAGCGTGTAATCTAATGGCATTGAAGAATTTTGTTCATATTTTCGCCTAATGTTTGTTGTATAACCAAAACAAACACGGCACCACTGTGAATTGCTAACTTTTTTAATAAAGAGCGGCTCGACTCGAGCTTTTAGGCGGTAACTAATCTAATATAACCAACTATGCTGAAAGAAATGACGCGATATTTTCATAGTGATGAAGGTCTGCTTTGTTTTTTTTTTATTGGGTTTCATTTAAGAAGTAACAATAAAATGACGCCTTGCGGGAAGCAAATACAATATCCTTAACGTGAATTAGGTAGCTTAACACCGTGACTTTAGAGTTACCCGAGAAAATTTACTGAATTCAGACATCGATAAAGGATATATTACCTACCGATTTTTTTCGACCCAAACTTTAAATTTTGCAATTATAAATTTGTGACAATTTAAGTAGTCATAATATAAATAAAACATATGCAATAGAATTGATTTAAATACATATTTTTACTATATCTATATACATAACAATTCATCGTCTAAAAGTATGTATGCACATCACTTCAGAATGACTGAACCAAATGGATTTTTTTGCCAACAACTTTTGTTAGCTCGCTACCGAGCTCTAAATTTCTAAAAGGCCTTATCCTCAAGGACTTAAGCAAAGACTTAAAAGCAGTACAGCACCCTTTGGCTGTCTAAAAAAGTCTTATTTCACTCTACTAAAACACGATACTGTCATCCTCATCGGCGGACCCCTACCGCCCCCCGAACTCCATCAACATCGTCCAGCCTCCAGCTGCTCGCCTATCAGTTGCGCCTGCCATTCCAGCAGCAGTGCCAGTCGTCCTACCTCTCCGCCGGCCAGCTGACCTGCTGGTCAGCACCTGGGTGCTGCTGCACCCACCAGTTACCAGCAGGGCACGCTGAGAATTCAGAGACACTGCTGCCTTCCAGGAGCGCCGCCCGTTTGACAGCAGCACAAAAATATACACACTGGTGAATCGAGCCTTCCTCCTTTTTGAAGTCTAAAAATCTTGCTTTTTCCATTTATGCAATAATGACAAATCGACTATTTATAATTACTTCACTTAATTTTTTTTGGTTACGTAAAAATTAAACTTTTTCCTTTTCAGTTTCGTACAAAGTTATGATCTGGTAATTTTAAACACAGTAGTATAAAAATGTATATAGCAATCAACAACTCATTTAATTACCACAATATCTATTTTTTTTATTTATCTATCATAACTCCATTTACAAGCAAAAGAAATCTAAAAACTCATTACATAAACAGGATAAAGACATTTAGCGAGTGCTTTCATAATTTAAGACCCTTATCACCACCAAGAAGGAGGTTTTAATTATTTTTTTCTGAAATTACATTCATTGAAGCGATTAATTCCTTAAACCCGACGCTTTAAGTATATTTTATTATGGTCTATAAATTCCTGCGCCTTTGTGGATTAATATATAATTATTAGGTTATTTAATTTTTGAAGTATTTAGAAATCTAAAGAAACCTTTTACTAAAAAAATCCTCTAAGGCAGATCCTTTCTGAAAAATGGACCTAGTGGAATATTTTCTAGTAAATCTTTTCTTTCTATAATTAGTATTTTAGTTTGGTTCATTCAAGTAAAATAGAACTATACTAAGGAATTATACTAGGAATAATATTGGACGGGACAACGTCACAAGTCGCAAAAAGTGCTTTAATTCTATTTCTCATAAATCAGTGAAGTTTCCATTTATAACTGTAACTTACTATAGCACTCTGAGACCACAATTAAAGTAACCAGTAGTATAAACACACACACACACACACACACACACACACACACACACACACACACAAACATGCATTTTATTTGTATTTTAATATAAAATTAGGATTAAGATTAAAATTATTGCAGCATAAATTGTTTTCTGCAGGTGGGCATTAATGGCTGCGACACAGTTTAAATAATAATAATGCAGTTATTATCGATCACCATTGTCATTGTATTGTTGTTTTTGTTTATCCGACGACAAATTTCCGAAAACAAACAATTAAGTATATCGTCATTCATTCATCACAAAACCACATGATCATAGTGTCCATTGACAATTACGTAAAGTTACAATACAATTTTGATGGGTGATTCATTGTAGGTACTGTGGATATTCCATAATATATTGACATATTATGTCGTATACAACATTGTTGGCGTATTACACAAGTTGTAATCTCTAAGTTTTAGGAAAGTACTTAACGAAGTTTGTAAGAAGTTCGCCCAATTAAGTACCCACACTGGCAGTAAACAAGTTGTTCGTAATATCCAGCTAACAGCACCGCTTTGGAATTACATTCAGTATTGTGGGCGGAAATAAAATTGTACGTTCCAGTAGCATTTGGTATGGACATAATTAGTGCTTATTAATATCTAATTTCATCTCATAATAAAAAAAATGTATCGGCCTTGCCTCCCTTTCATATTTAGGCTTTTGTTGTGATATCGCGTAGATGTACAAAATATTTACTACCAATTCAAAAAACGCCTCGAATAAAAGCTTATTAATTGAATACAGTAAAAGCTCCTAATTCACTCTTCCTTTATTCGCGTTTTCAATATTCGCGGATTAAAATCTTGCGACCGAATTCCTATATTCGCGGCTAAAAATTTCTTTATTCGCGGATCTAATCGAATTAAAAAAATATTCGGTACCCTTTCTTAACGCATCAGCAGATACAGTAATTATAAAAACAAAACAGATCTTATTATAACTAAGCCTAAAGTATGTTGTCAAATGCTATCCAGTGCATGAGACGTTTCGCCTTGTTTTTGAGTAGGTAATTATGTAAACAAACAGCATAATGTTTATGTAAAACAATCTTTTATATTCTATGCCTAATGTGGGTTATTTGTTAAATGCTATGTACCACAGAACACAGAAAGAGGTGTTCTGTGCTATGTACCAATAATATAAAATACACATTTTAGCTCATTTTAGAGAACTATAAAACTTCAGTGGGTGAAGTATTTAAAGTGGTTGCTTTGGATTCATCTCTTTGACGAATAGCAAATTATACAAATGGAGGATAGAAATAAGCCACAACAAGCCTACTCAAAATAAGTTATGAGGGCAATTAAATTGTTCTTGTCCTCTTTGAACTTCAGAAAAGCAATAATGTTTTGCTACTCCTGGAACTTATAATGAGAACAAAGCAATAAATGCCCAGTAGCAAATTTAGCATGATATTAAATTACTATGGACTGTGTTTAATACAATTATAGCATACGTATACCTAAATACAAAAGAAGTTTTCTTTTATACTGTAAACGTACCTTTTCTGCAGTAAAAACAAGTTGAAATAATGCTGTAACGTTTGATTCTTAGAAATAGTTGTAATTGCTTTGAATATCAGTACCTACTACTCTGAAGAATGATGCATTGAATGAACGTAGACGAAATGAAATAAAATAATGAACTTAACAGTACATCGGAGCGCCTGTCCTTTTCTACGCCTGCGCCGTTACTTCCCCAGGAAGTAACCTCCACCTTACAGAAGAATACAGTAAAATAACACTACATTTTTTTGGTGTTGTGTTTCTGTCGGTGAGTAAGGTTCCAGGACTTGACGGGGTGAGGATTGGCTCAGGGCAGGCAACGGCGCGAGTGATATTTTTGTATCGCAAGTGTCTATAGGCTGTGGTGACCGCTTAGCATCAGGCAGAAAAAGCGCTTGTTTGCCACCCTTTTAACATTAAAAATTAAACCAGATAAGCATATTCATTGGTTCATCAGATAATTTTCTAATAAGATCAATATGATAAATTTTAAAAACCGATGAGCAATTAATAATTAATTTTCGAACAACCCATAATAATTAGTCCCGAACTATGCACAGTTTGTGCTATGGAAACAATTACATTTTTTTAATAGTCTCTGAAATATATTAATGATCTTCACACAAATACTTGGCCCTACCGGGACAGGAATGCTGCCGTTGCAGTTGCAGTGAAATGTTGATGAAGTGAACGAATTATGACAGTCCAAAGCAAGGGTTGGTATGTTGTCATCTATGAAGCAAGCTTGACTTTGTAGCATGTAGGAATACTATTTATGTTTAGCCAAAACAAATACTTTTACGGGTAGAAACATGCTTTACTTGTGATTTAAAATAACCAATGTGTTTTTGTTACAGGTGGAGGAGGTGCGCAACTAGGAGATATTGACAATTGTGATTCAAATGAATTAAAAGTGTGTGTGGATTTGATACCCAGGACGCCGGTCGGCTTGCCCCGGACAAGAGAGGATCTCGACCTTCACTGCTCGTAAGTCTAAAATAATCCTAAATCAAAATGTCTTTATTCAAATTGGAAGCATAATACAACTCTTTTGAACCGTCCATATTTTTTTCCTACCACTCACTCATTAAGGAAATTGTTTAGTTGTGGAGAAAACGAAAACTTCAAAGCGTCAAATTATGTAACAATAATTATAATAAATTTAAATTAATTATAGTTTATTAGGATAATGGATATGGAAAAAAATAATTTCAATAATGTGCACTTCAATGGCATAGCAGCGAAATCTAAAACAAGGTGAATTTATTGCCAGATATTTGCCCATTATTCTCCAAACACAACCATCCCTTAATCTCTTACTACTTTAAGACTTCTTGGGAAATTAGGAATGGTTCTATATTTTTGGAAACTAAAATCAAATGGAGTAAAATTTATGTCATGTTGAAATGAAAACTATGATTACTTTAGTACAGTGGAGTTATAACCATCATCTCCTTATCAAAATATCGGCAAGTATTGCAACGTGTGTTATGATTACAGTTTTTTTTAATTACTATATACTTAAGTCTCAAGAGTGTTCACTCAGGATATCCATAGAGTAGGCAATTTTTCCACTTTTTTACCTTTTTTTATTTTTTTTATTAGGAAACTCAACAGTTTTTTTTTTATTAATCACATGCTTAAGTAAACTTATTTAAAAAACTAAGCCAATTGCAGAGTTCCACCACATTTTAGAATAATTAAGGAACTAAAAAATAAATTATTATTTTTGATTTCCATTTTAAAATATATACGTATATAACGTAGGAACTCATTTGCAGTACAAATAAATCTTTGTGCATGCGTGTCGTGTTAATTGTGGAAGATGACGGAACAGCCAAGGAATAGTACCTAAACCTTGAAAAAAATATTTATTGAAAAATGATTCTCTTCATAACTTTTTTACTTGATTTTCCGATATTTTAATACTTATAAAAGATTTTCGGGGCGCAGATAAATCCAAAAAGTCAGATCTCATAAAAAAATGGATGCGTGTAACTTATCTACGCGCGTGAGAAGTTATACTTCTTTAGCATCATTAAAAATATTTTTTAATTGCATGCAAATAATTAATAATTACAATAAAATAATAAAAGGACTGGAAAAGGATAGTTAAAACAGTCAATTAAGTTCAGTTTTAATTTGAAAAATTAAATAAATATTCAAAATATTCAATTAAAATCACTACTGAATTTAAGTTATTAGTCCATATGTAATTAGCACTTGTAAGTAACTAAAACACGTTGTGTCTATATAGAAACTAGAAACATGTGGATAAATATTATAAATATGAAAACAGTGATCAGAGGCGACGAGCGTGCCAACATTGTTTTTGACAACGCGATCATCCTATGGAGCTCCGTGGATCGTTCAAAGTACCTTTCGAACAGATGTCTAATAATGGTGGATTATTAACCACTAAGTGGTTAATAATCCACCATTATTAGACACTAACATTCATAACGCGCCCGCGGCCAACTTCATGGTGTTACTTTTCTGTTACAGTGTTGCGCGCGCATCTTAAAATTTCACTCTCATCATTTTTTCATAACGCGGCTAAAGAAGTATAACTTCAAAAATTGTCTAGCCATTCTTGAGTTATAAGTGTTCTGACTAATACAACTTTGTTTCATATCACATAAATTTTCCTTTTATAGGAATTAAACAATACTGTTACGTGTCGGGATGGGGTTCGAAATTATATGCCAGTTCATGCTTGACAGTTCTTTATTCACCACACCGTTCACACAATTAACACACAATATTAATTACAAAACACTTACTAAACACTGTATTTCACTATACAAGTCTCTAAACAATCTCACTTGAACACTGTTGTTGCACTTTGATCGCTTTTGGATTCGCTCCGAAATCGCTGTTGAAACTGAACTGTCTCTGCGCGGCGCCAATAGCGCTTATATACGCCGATCTACGCATTCTAGAAAGTACCTGTTAAACCTATCACCCGCGAGTACGAAATACCTACTTATACCTACGCAGGTAACACGCATAACTTGTAAACAAGTGCAGATGTCGTTGCACTTTCACCCTTACGCCGCACTGCATAAGGCTCATTTTAGAATGAGCCGCATTACTCGACCTCTCTCGCGACCCGCGGTAATCTAGCAAATTCGATCTCTAGCACTTTCGCGGTTACTTTTCGAGAGCGTTTGTGACAATACTTTATTTTATATTTATTAGATACTAGCAGACCCGGTGAAATTCGTACCGCTTACAATAATTTTCAGGAAATGAAAGCTTTCCGTTTGACAGGAACACAGCTTTAACCATAGTAAGTAATTGTTTGGAGAAATCTTCTGTAGTTTGATTATTTAGCACTGTAACACTCATATTTACTGCCAGCTGAAAATTAATTACCATGGCGTCAAAACTTGGATTAGTAGAGGCTACTCTTCATTTCATAAGCAGTAGTCAATCTTAGAATAACTATCGCCAAAATCTCTAGCTAGGCAGTAAAATCATTGCACTCCCTAAATACCCTAGTCTATCTACCTTCTACATTTATCTAACAATATGGCCGTTATTCCAGAAAAAGCAACTGCTACCACAATGTCAGATTTTACATGAACAGTTTCTATGATATCATTAGATTATAATAAATATCTATCTAGTAAGGAAATATAATATAATATCTATGTTCTTAAATTACTAAATTGAAGAAAACAAATAAATCTATGTTTCGTCGGAAGTGATTCGTTTTTATATATATGTTACGCTCAAACATCGAAAACGCTCAGTGAGCGGAAAAATAGCTCACAACGCGTTGTGGTTACAGTAAAACACCCACATGGCGAAATTCGTGTTATGGCTCTAATGAAAACGCGCACTACGCGTTGTGGCAATCACAGAAAGACCAAATAGCGAAATTCGTGTCGTGGCTGACATGTTATTCGATCTCAACGCGTTGTGGCAATGAAGAAAAGCCATGACGCGTATAGAATATTATTTGATTACGACGCACACTAGGTACTTTCCGATATGGATCCTACTAGGCCTAGGCTGGAAACGTTTTATGTCCTTCTCTTCAGGGCACAACACTGGAGCTAGAGAGCAGTATCACCATGCTCGGTATGGAGATTCGCTGTGACTTAAATCCAAAAAATTACATCGAAAGTGTGATAAAAACAGCCTCACGCAAACTCGGAGTCCTGAACAAGGTGCGGCGTTTTTTCACGCCCGAGCAACTATGCTTGTTATATAAGACGCAGGTTCGGTCTTGCGTGGAATATTGCTCGCACCTCTGGGATGGCTCCGCCAAGTACTTGCTCGATGCTTTGGATAGGTTACAGCGGCGCGCAATACGCATCATAGGCGATGAGGAGGTGACTAAACACCTCGAGCCTCTTCAATTACGCCGTGACGTGGCGTCACTAAGCGCGTTCTATCGTCTGTACCACGGCGAGTGTTCTGAGGAGTTATTCTCTCTTATTCCACCTTCCCCTTTCCTTCAGAGGACCACGCGCGCTGGCTTACGTTGTCACCGTCTAACTGTGGCTACAATTCCAATGCGTACAAAGAAATTTGGTGACTCATTTCTTTGTCGTACTATCCGTAAATGGAATACTCTACCCGCTCACGTGTTCCCTCCCTCTTACAACCTGGGATCCTTTAAAAGAGGCGTGAAGAAGCAACATGCAGGCCGGCAGGGTGAGGATGGCTGGTGTGGCAGGTAGAACTGCTGTATCAGCTATCTTCGCGTCTGGACTTCACCTCCACTTAACATCAGGTGGGGTGGAGTCATTTGTCGGACCTATCTATAAAAAAAAAGTCTAGAAAATATTTTTTATTTTATAAAATCACTGCATAACGTGTTTTATTAAATATCTTATATAATTATACAAATTAAAATAAAACGATATTTGTTATTTATTGAGATTACTTTGTATATAAAAAACAACGTATTAGGAAATAAATTACTGAACACAAAATATTAATAATTTGTAAATTACTTATAATTCACTTAAAATAATTAGGGATTTTAATTTTTTTATGACAATTTCAAATTCTTTCAAGTAATAAAAATATTTAACACAAACATAAATGTTTATTGATCACCAATAAACAACAACAATGTACTTCAATCAATTAGTTATATTAGAAATTACTATAATTGTGAAAAATAGGTATTTGACTGTTATTTATTTTTACAGGAACTATTTCTGTGGCATTTTGAGTTGCATTTTATATTCTTGGAGCGACACTTGCACTTTTTATCAATACAGTATCTTTTGCAGTGGCACATTATAAACCCTTGCTAACTTCCAGATCATAACATAGATGCTGAGCGAAGTGTTAATAACGAAGTTGAGGGCACATCACAAATGTTAATAAAGTTGGTTTCAGAAAGTGTAAACTCATTACGTGCATAAAGTCTATCGAATGTACCTTCCTTGTTTCCTAACTGGTAGAGACCTGATGGAATAATGCTCATAACAACACACATAACATTCCTGGGTGCTGCACGTCCTCTATCAACTTACAACCTGTCCGTCGTGATATGGTTAAAACAATAAATGCTCAGAACGCGTCATGGCTTTTCTTCATTGCCACAACGCGTTGAGATCGAATAGCATGTCAGCCACGACACGAATTTCGCTATTTAGTCTTTCTGTGATTGCCACAACGCGTCATGCGCGTTTTCATTAGAGCCATAATACGAATTTCGCCATGTGGATGTTTTAATGTGACCACAACGCGTTGTGAGTTATTTTTCCGCTCACTGATCGTTTTCGATGTTTGAGCGTAACATATATATTATTATTACAGTGGGAATTAAGTACAAATAATTAGATAAAATTTTCAACAAATTATCTTCCTGTTTCGGTTGATTAAAAAACATTTTAAAATTAAACCTGCACTTCTTACTTCTTTAGTAAAACCTTTACAAGTTTATTACCATTTCGATATGGGGCATTTATAATTTTCCATTTTCTTAGTATTGCGGCTTCGCCTTCAACCAAATTTAA